GCACTCTTGACTAAGAATATATGCCAAGCATTGTCAGAAAAAGATTACCTAATCCAATGTAGCATAACTTGCTTTAGCATTAGCTAGAGAACACTTCCAGTTTACCTCTTTTGGCACATATACTAGGGAGCATTGTGCTAAAGAATAGGGAAGGGGTTAGAGTACCTCTTTTACATGCAAATTTCTTCCATTCTATTTGTGAATGTTCCCTGGTCCTTTACCCCTTCTAATTAATAGATGTGCAAGAGGTTGTGGTGCTGTGTGTGTTGTATTCGGTTCTTGCAAGGGGTCAGTCAGGAATAGGGAGCCTGCAGTCACAGTGCTAGAGCTCAGCATAAAATTTCTGATGGATTAAAGTGTAATCTGAAGTTAAAAAAAATATTGTAAATCCCTTAATCCCAAAACCACAAATTGCCTCAAAATAATACTCAGGCTTCACATAAAAAGAGGAAAGCAAATTCCCATGATGCACCATTTTTACATACAGAAAGCAACAATCTCAGTTTCAGCTTTGAAATGAAGTGGGTCCAATGGAAGGTAGATTGAATCAATCACTTTGCAACATGCATGTTAGGTCCAAGAAAGCATCTTTGCCCAGATAATATTATTCATAAATAAAAAGCTGTCTGCTTTTAACTCTTTTTTTTCTTTCCCCAGAAATTTATTGATGGAAAGTCTTCTAGATATCATTAACATTAATGATATATAATTAATAATTTAATACTTGGGCCTGGGATATTTGTATCTGTTGCTCCCAGGAGAAGAAGGATTTTTCTATTTCCTGCCAGGAGCTCTGCATGTGAATTCAAGAATCAGCAGTTCATCCCATGACATTTCCTTATGCTCAAACAGACAAGGTGACACATAAAGCCCAGGGGCAAAGGGAAACCTGATAGCTAAATAGCTGAGCTGCAGTCGGAAGTGGTGAATTCCCTCGACCACAGGGAAAGCTTCCTGTTCTTTGTAGATGAGCCTATTATTGGAATACACTTGCCTGCAGTTAATCCTCAAAGTAATTAAATGGAAAGGAAGCAATTAAATCACTGAAAAGGAATTGCATCTGATTCAGAGGGAAAAACCCAGGCCTAGGAAGTATTTCAGTAATAGAATGTACTCAGCATAAACAGGTATCTTCCTGTTTGCACAGACAATTAATATTTATGTGATAAGAATATCTTGTAGAAATCAAATTATGTTGAATATCAGAAGTTGTCATTTCTGTGGCCTAGAAGTACCAAGGAGAGAAAGGTTGATACATGTTTTTCCTATGATGGGATAAAATTGAAACCTGGGTCCCTTACACTCATCTTGCATATTTTAGGCTGATACCTTGAAAGTTAGTAAAGCAATGTACATTTACTGCTGCTGATAATCAAACTCAGCATTTGACTAAGCACATCCCAGAGAAGGAAGACCATAACAATGGATAAGCATGACTCATACCAGTCTACAAAGAGAAAGACATTCAAGTTCAGAAAGAGCTTGGAATGATTCCTTAAAATCAGGTGTTGGGGCTATGTGAAACAGGACAGTGCCTCTTAAAGACTGGCAGAAATCTTGACCTAAATTCAATTTTAAATGTGTTGAAAGAAGCACTTGTTTCATAATACACCTAAATGCTTGTACATTGAATTTATTAATTGTGGCTGGACAGCGAATGTCGTTGTATTTCTAAGGTGTGTATTTTGCTCAGACTGGAACAAGGGATCCTGTATATTGCTCTGGTCTATTATAATAGTATAATTTCTGGAAAGCCATCAAGAGAATGTTTCAGTGAAATGCTCATCAAAGCTCTTACTGACACTGGAAAGTGCAGGTAGTTCAACAGGTTGTTGGACAATTAAGAAGTAGTTAAAGAACAACTGTATTAATTAAAAATGTATGGTTGAGAACAGGGATTCTGTTGCAAGGGCATAAGGAACCAATCTTCCACTTTTCTTTGTCTTTCATATGTCTTTTATTTTTCCTTTGGAAAAATTTTGCCCTGCAGTTATATGGGCTCTAACTAACTGCACCATTGCTGTCATCTAAGAAGCTGAAAGTTCGGCTGGCTGAAGATAAAAGCTGATGAATGAACAGCTATAGATAAGGTAGAATAAGCTACCTGGGACATTAGCAGTGAACACTGGTAAGTGATGGCTGCTGGGACTGAGCAAAAGGAGGTGAGGCAGAAAAGAGAGCTGACATGGTTAAAACAGTAGATTCAGACTGTATTTGTGGGAAAAGAGTAGCAAGAAAGAAGTTGGTAGCAGGAACTAAGACCTGAGAGGATGAACATATGGATGGGACATGTAGGTCTTTAACAAGACAAAAAAGGCCATGTGTGACAGGGGATCCAGTGGCAAAGGTGGAACTTTTTTCTCAGATAAAGACAAATATTAGCAGAAAAATACGCTTGGATTGTTGACTTGAGACACAAACATTTGTTATGGGGCAGGGACATGGGACTGAGGGTTTGGGGAGAGAACAAAATACTGACTGTTTCCCAGCAAATGTTATATAAAGCACTTTTCGTTATTTAAAGCAGTTCACTTCCTGGGAAGAAAAATTATTATTCATGTTACATACGAAGGACTTAAGTACACATAGATGTGCTCCTATTGTGTCAGCCCAGTTCCAAACCAGGTCCTTGATGCATATAGGTCTAGAACCTTCATTTTTATCTTGTATCAATTTTTATATTACTGTCTCTCCTGCTCATAGAGACCTGAGTGGAAGATGTCAGTCAGCTAGACTACCATTTCCTTCATGATCAGCCCCTCTAGCTGCATATGCATTGCTATAATGCAGATAATTCAGTACCTGAATGCTTAGTTCCCCAAATACTATTGTGTGCCCATTTCAGACCTTAACAAAAAGAAATTTTAATATTTGGATTGCATAATATGAAATTTATTTGAATGGGACATATTAACATATCAGACAATGTAGTTTTGTGGCTCTCAATGTAAAATATTAACTTGCATTCTTAGAGACTTCTCTGGTAGCACAATTACAATTGAATTTTGTGCGATACTTCCAGAAAGGTCCAATTTCTGGTATACACTTAAGAATAGTAATAGCTTGCTGTATTTATGCTCAAAAGTGCCATGGGCAGTTTTATTTTTATTTCTATTCAGATGCTTCCAAAAAGGGTTATGTCTGGAGGAAGGCATGTTCTTCAGCCCATGCTGGAAGGATTCTCAGCAGCATTAGGCTTCCTGTATGTGAGGCAAGTACTAGCTAAGGGGTAGCAGGAAGCCTTTGTATCAAGAATCTACTTTCAGCTATCTTGCCAAGCTGGAAGGTTTTGGAATAAATTTTGTCTGCTCAGTAGAGACTATGGAGACTTTAATGAACAAGCCATTATTCCTCCCACATGCCATCTGCAGCTACATGCTGAAAATCCACTAAACTGCCAGAAAATTATGCTCCCTGTGTAAATGCAGGTACTGCAGATGCCTACCATAGCTCAGTGAGGTGCTGGGCATAAGGAAGAAGGAAGAGTGTGGGGAGTGAGGAAACAGCAGGACTCAGCAGTTAGAGATGAACTGAGAGCATGGAGAAGGAAGAAGACTAGAAAAAGTAACATATTTTAGGAGTAGATCTCCATACACACATGGATATACATATTAAAAAAACTGAATTAAAGTTGATCAGGCAGCCTTAGTCATGCAATTTCTCAATTTGGTGTCTCTGTCAAAGGGACACTCTGGTGTCCCATAGAAGCTTTATGACCTTTTAGGCTTAGTTCTGCTGCCCACTCCTCATCACTAATTATTATTTGCAATGTCCTGTGTGCAGTAGGCTGACAGACACAAACACAGGGCCAGCAGAGCTGTGCATTGCTAGAGACGGGCAGGATAGCCTGATGGGTTACTCATGGTACTGCTGGAAATGATAAAACTTCAAATTTTCTTAGTAATCTTTGTCAGGGTTTTTGTTCACCTTTGCCCAGGGGGGAAGAGAATTGAAGTTCTTCTTCCTGAGAATCTTCACTCCGCCAGGCCTGATGAGTTTAACATCTACAGAGATTGGGAGTAGCCGGGAGATACACGGGAGATAATAACCATGAACCATGAATGGGCATTACCCCTGAACACCACCCTCTGGAGTGGTTGGAGAGACCTGGTTTGGGAAAAGACTGATAAGAGAACCAAAGAATGAGGGCCAAATTAGCATTGAAGGCAAAGGGTTCAATAACCAATAGGAGATCAAATACTAAAAACTGGGTAATTTAAGATCAATCAACAGGAATTTATTGGGTTTTGTCGGTATAAACGTGTGAAAAGTCTGGTAAAGAATTATGTGTGATGGAATGATTTTCACTTCACAGCCTAAGCATGCATGGAGGAAATGATTTCTATTGCACATGGTGGCCAGAATAACCTCCTGGCCAAAATAAAGTAATGCCTTGATTCTCTAACACTAAAAAATTGTTAGTGTTGGAGGGTTTCTGCTTTTGCCACAGTTGTAGTGACAATACTAGACACCTTTGTAAGGGTGTAAGGTGAATTGGTGTCAGTGAATTTTTTTTTTGTGGAAGCGCCTAAGTGCCATTTGGATTACTCGGAATCAACTTCATGTCTGGCTCTACTCTTCAGCTCAGCCTTTATCAGCCCCCTGGCATGGCAGGCACCCATTATGGTTAATTCTTGCTGCTGCAGTGGATTCAAAGGAAGTGCTGTCAAGTAGACACAAATGAATGTTACCTTAAGGTTATTCGAATCCACGGTAGAATTATCGGCTTAGACCCTGGCTGCTTAAGTTTCCTATCTTGCTCACAAATAAGCCTTTGATATCCCATTGAGGAACTGAACAGAACGAAATTCTACCACAGTGTGACAGACTTGATGAATTTTTATGAAGAGCAAATTTAGTAATTAAAAATTTTTCTGTGTATATTCTTGCAGGTAGAACCGCTATAAATACCATCAATCAGCAGTCCCTAAATCATGTCAAACTTAGATGTTGATCATATTCCAGCTGCTTATTCATGCACTATGCTTCTGCCTTTTCAGATCTTTTGGACTCCTGCACGATCTTGAGTATGCTCACTCCTACTGCAGCTCAATTGTTGCAAACAAACATCACCAAAATATTTTGAGGGAAGTATGCAGATGTTTTGCAAGGAGCATGATATACTGTCCATGGGGGAAACAACCTCAAGGTTTTGTCTGGAACCCTAATGGTTTGGCTAAAACACTTCTTCTGGGAGAGAATCCAGGACTCATGGAAGATTGAGGTAAATTATTTCTCTGCTCCAGAATTGCTAGTTTTACAGCTGAAATTGCAGATAACAGCGGGTGTGTCTCAGTGCTGTTAAACTTCACTTAGTTTGGAATGCTAGCAATAAAAGGACAATTTAATTTACATTTTTGGCCTTTTCTAACTTACTATAACTGAAGAATGACTTCCCAACGGCGTGTAGAAAGCAGTTATCTCTGCAGGATGCTAGTCTGGCTACTGCGAAGAGGGAACAGGAACACATAAACAGCCAATTGATTTGCTGGGGCTTTGATAACTGCAGCATTTGTCTTACTTTGTGTCAGGAGACACAGTGGCCATCCTGCCACTGTATTGTGTGGGGATTGGAGGACTTTGGAAATGTTAAAGTTTGATTCTTTAGTCTCTCTAAAAGTAAATAAAAGAAACTCTAAATGTATTAAAAACTGCCTCAAAATTGTAGCAACAAATAAGTAATAGGTGAGTCAATAAATACATCAGTGACACTGTAGAATCCTCACTTCTTGTCTGCATCCTGTAATGAATGAAATCCTTGAAGCCTGAAAGGATGGACAAATCATGATGCTAACATGTTTTTTCCCCACAAGTGTCATGAAACCCTTTGAATAACATGGTGCAGCTGCCAGGCAAGTAGGATAAAACTACAGGACTAGTGAGTACAAATTGAATGCATCCAGCAAGTAGAACTGGGCAAGTATTTTATGCCATACATCAGAATGCTGGCTCAGCTCTTGCTTTGTGTTATAGGGGAGGTTAGGATGCATTGCAACAGATCACCTAACGAAGCTACAATATTTTTTAATTAAGGCTTTTCTCTATTTATCAATCATATTTTATCTCAATTTCCAAGATTTTAAAATCAACAAAAATGAGCTCTTCAGTGATGTCGTTAGTATAAAAATTCAGCAGTGATGATGCAGCTAAATCTAGGCAAGAATAAAGAGAGTTGCTGGTAGTTATATGCATGGTAACCCTACGTGAAAAGAATAGCAAGGCACAGCAGGGATACTTTCTGCTTGTTAGAGAAAAAAATCCCAGGGAAAGATATAACTGGGGAAAAAAAATCATTTATACACATTTGTGGATTGACAAGTGTGCTGACCAGGTCTAGGGAGAATTCTTCTTCCTTCCCAGACTGGCAAAATGAGTCTCCCCTGCAGGGGTCCTTTGAGTCCAGGGCTGGGGCAGTCACACTGCAGGCAGGCATGCACAGTGATGACATAACCTGCCAGCTGCAGGGGACTTCCACAGAGGAGCCCATGTCACCGTTTGCTTCTCACTCCAGAGGCTTCCAAGGACTTCTGGAAACTGGATATAGCTGAGAGCAGCTGTTGTAACAGGTGTGGTGATCAGTGATCCCTCAGGGTTAGATCCCAAGGGAGTAAAAGCACCATGAACTCCAATTTTTAGGTGCCAGCTTGTGGATCCACGATCTTCACATCCTTCTATTTTTCAGCTGTCGCCTATCTTTGGACGTGTGTAAAGCCCATTAGAGTTATGAAGGCAGAGGAAGCTGCCAACACAAGTCCTGAACAAGGATTTCCCTCTCCCTGGCAAAGGCTGCCAGCAGCCAGGCGTGGCTCCTGCCTGTCCTTGCCCATGCAGACATTTCACCTCACTACACAGATGGAAACACCCCCAAGGTGGAGATGACCAGGGCATTTTCTCCTCTCCTGTGGCCTGGAGCGAGTTTGACAGCCTTTTTCTGCCATGTGGCAGAGCTTGGTGCTGTCAGATGAGAGGAGGGGTCAATCCCAGGGCAAGCACAGCAGTGACAATGTGACATCATAGATAACGGCCCTACTGACAGAGGCAGGCACAGGCACCCCTCCCGTCCAGGGGACCACACAGGGGAAGTATGATGCACTAGCTGTGAAATATGTTTTTTTGGTGATTCATACTATAAATTAAAGGTTATCCTAATTCTTTTCAGTACAAAATGTACTTTAAAGAGTTATTTTCCTGGTATGAATCACCAAGCTAGTCCTCCCTCTAGGTTAGCAACAGAGAGCAAACTGCAAGTGGTCAGGAAAAGGAATATAATTTCACTTCTCCACTCATTTTGATTTAGGAAATATATTCTGTTTAAGATAATATTTTCAAGGGAACTAAGCCTCCAAAAGTTGAATTCAGGCTTTCCTAAATGCAGCCTTTTATCCAGCACAGATAGATCATTTATTGGGTCTGGGTGTTTCCCCAGCCTGTACTGGGGTGGGGTAGGGGCACAACTGGTTGAGAAAGGAGCAACTAGCTAGAGGAACTGTGGGCTTAGCCAACTCTCAGAGACATTTTAGAGGGGGAGTGAGGAGCAGGAAACTTTGGAAGTCTCACTTTTGCAGTTAGGTATCAGATGGGCAATTTGGGGAAAATATGCCAGGGCATCCATAGAAGTCTGTGGCCTACAGCTGGGCCACTTGGTGGAGCAGGCAAGAAGAAGCAGAGAGGTGTGTGAATATGTCAGATCTTCTCCTAGAATGCCTTATTTTGGTCAAAACTCTGACAGAACTGCACATCCCGCAGAAAACTGAATTTGCAGCTTTTTGCAGGGGAAATATTTCTACTAGTTTTCTTTAACTGCATGATTTTTACCTCCAAGAGTCTTAGACCTTTAAATACAATGGCAGCAAGCCTCGTTTAGAGTTATCTCCAGCCCATTAAAAGCTCTCCAGTGTGCTGACTCTGAATGCTCAGATTAGGTTTGAGCTTTGGAGCATGGAGACAGAGCAAGACCTCTTGATTTGAATTTGAAAGCTTGAAAGATGAAAAGGATAGTGAGAGGAAGAATCATCCTCACACCAACTGGACGTGAATGGCTTGGCTATGAACTGAAACTGTTTTTAACAACAAGGTCTTCTGAACTCTAACTAACTAGCTGCACAGTTCAACCCCTGTAGGAGGGTCTGCCTCTCACTGCTGCACTCTGGTAAATACAGAACTATGTATTTACCAGCTATCCAAGCAGTGATGAGCCCTGGAGTCATATTCCTGGGTATAAGAAAGAGACTAGTTTACAAAGATGAGGATATCTGTAGTAGTTTAGTCACCCCATAAGACACTGTAGGCACTAGATAAGATTAGAAAGAGTTAAATGTGATCTGGTGATGGTCTGCGTTAACAGAGAAGCCATGGACAAGATCTTTCCAAGTTAATTTAAAAGATCTGATTTTCCCCAGCCTTTGTTAAGGTTCATGAGTTCAGTCAATGAAAAGCAAAATGAATTCTAACAGTTCTCATGAGAAAGGAGAGAAATAGGCAAAAGTTTTGGCCTGGGAAATGTTTTCTAAAAATATATACCTGTCAAAGTAACCAAGTCCTACCTCTACATGAGCACAAGAGGAGGTACAACGTGGTTTAAGAACATTAATCAGATGCTTCTAGCATCTACGTAAAAAAAGGCCTCAATTTACTAAATATTTTCCAAAAGCACCAGATTTCATTTTTTTTTCTTTCTGCAGCTTCCAAAACATTTAAATTTTTGTCATACCCTCAGAATAATTTGAAAATGTTCAAGATTTATAAGCTGAGTTTTAGAATTTTAAATAACAAGGTATATTGGTTGGGGAAGTTTAGAGTTGATGAAAACTAAATGACAGCCACTCAACCATAACATAATGCAAGAAGAAAGGATCTAAAGTGTTAAATACACCAGAAAAAAATTACCAGTTTTTTCTTCAGTGAGTTTATTCTTTCTTGTACTTGGGATACCACATACAATATAACATTATTACTACGAGCTGCTATTTCTAACTGCCTCACTATTAGCATGTACTGCTGTCAAAAGTTTTAATTAATTTGCATTTCTATTATAATAGAGCACTGTACTTTTCTTTCCCATGTACTCTACACTGTATAAGTCTTCACAGCTTTTTAAGTTAAATAAATATGTCATCTTTATTACTCTCTACTGAACTTCTACACACAAAAGCATTCTAAAAACTTTTTCAAATTCAAAGACAGTCTTCTAGATTAGTCACTATTTTCAGGACACTGAAATCAATCAATATTTTCAGGACAAATGTATAGTCTTCAGAGTACTGTGTAAAGTCAATCTCACCTAAAGATGTGAGAAGGCAAATAGCTCTTACTATAAAAATGTGTCTAGGTGTGAAAATGCTATTTTCAGTTTTATGACTTTAGATTTGAAGAGGTCTTATTACATTTCAAATTAACTGTCTTCCATTAGAGAAGGAAAAAATCTGAAATCATCTGAAAAAATGAAAAGTAGAAGAAACAAAGGAACTGTACATGTTGAATTTTATGTGAGTAGAAAAAGATTTTCTGCATAAGCAATTTTTCCTGAATTGTTTATATTTTAAAGTAATTCACAAATATTTTATGGTGAATTTTAATAACGTATATTTGTTAGCCCATATATTTGTTAAGTAATTTTAATGACATATATTTATTTTTGTATCTGGGCTACACAATACTTGAAATTCCAAATTTTGTTGCTCTCCAAAGCATGGTAAGCTTCTGTTGCATAGTTCTGTGACTGTGAGGACAGGTAGAGATGCTCATACAAACACACACCATAACACATGGCTGTACTGAGTGTAGGAGAAGTCGATGAAGAGTTGATTAAGCCTCAGAGAGAAATTTATGTTTCCTGGTCTGTTTTAATGTGTGAGATTATGAGAATTTTCTCAATCTGTCCTTCCATTCTGAAACAATGTTCACGGAACTGACCAGCAGATGCTTCATTGTTGTTAAACATCTACCAGAATAGTAAGGATACCATATGGCAACTCCTCCCTGTGATTTCTTGCTTTGTTCGATTTCTTCTTCCTTCAGGTTTAAAGCTGTTTCAAGCAAAAGAAAATCACAGAAGTTGTTTAGTTCTGTACGTGTAACATGTATATTCTTTTTACAATATTGTTGATTTACTGGGATTTATTCAACATTTATAGAGTGATAAGCATTATTTTTCACTGCTGTTTCATTTTTATAACCTGATCTGTCCTCCATGAACAGCATGAAGGAGAGCCAAGAATTTTCATACATATATTTAATGTAAAAGCATCATTTTCTTGTTCTAGGTGATCTTCAGGTCACATAGATAAATAGATATTTTGGAACAGTGAAAAGACAGAAAAAGATTATTTTCTACCTTTTTTCTTTGCCTATCTATGGTAAGTCCAAAGGATGATCTACATCTCCTCATTTTGATGAGCATTTTAGTATTTTAATTAGTGGAATAGAACTAGATAATTATTTTAGGAAAATTTTACATGGTAGTATTTCTCCTAGATATCTCTTGAATGTAAAAGTATGGCCTCTGCACCTTCAGTTTTGTTGTGTTATGGATTTTTACACCTGCTCCTTGTGGAACACAAGCACATTTTCATTGTTTCAGAGAGGACTGTAAATTATATAGAACCATCTGATAACCTAATCATTCTCTTATAAATCATCAAGTTAGGCTTTACTTTACATATTTCATTAGTATCCCTTCAAAGAGCAGGAGAGATTTCTTGGCAAGACTCTAGCAGTTTCATCATGGGAGATCTCTTAGAATTTGCTAGACAAACATCTATTTCAAGCATCATAAAACAAATTAATCTTACTTTTTGACAGTGATAAATCAGATAGCCCCTAGCACCACTTTCTGTCCCATGATTAGATCATGTTTCCTGAAAAAGAGCATATAATATGATTTCTGGTTCTGAATCAGGCTGGAGATTGACCCTGTTGACCAGATGGTCACTTCTCAGCAGATTTGCTGGGTGTGTGGAAAAGGAAAAAAAAAAGCAAGGGTGGGTTTATAGGTGGTTGTTGAATAAAACTGTATGGAAAATATAATGAAGAGCAGGAGACTGTAAGACATTCCATCACCTGAGAATCCAAGAATTAACTCTTTAGCCCAGCATGTAGCCTGAGATAGCTCACAGAGATTAAAAAATAGCGAAAAGACAAATTCTAGCTGCTGTTTTGGGGTAGAGTGAAAGAAATTTTAAGTGTGCAGAAACATAATTTTGGCCATTCTTGTCAGCAGTTGGAAGAGCATAAAAGACGCATGGTATTTATCACAGCACTAAAGTCTTAAAAATTAAAAATAACACTTATCAGAAAACATCTGGAAAATTTATTAAAATATTTCTTTTTCACCCCTTCTCTCTCAGCCTGTGAAAGCTGAGAATTCTAACCATTTAGAAGTTCAAAATCCTTTCTATGCAGTAGAAGTTACGCAACAGCACCTGGAGACTCTTTGGCCTTTTGTAGGCAAATACATACCCAGTATGCACAAAAGCTATGCATTTCCCACAGAGTTCAAATCCCTGTCACAAAAGATAGGAATGACATTCCTAGTTTATGTGGGATATGGTTGTGGTTTTTTTGGTGGTTTTCTTTCTTTGATTTTGTTGTTTGTTTTCATTTTAAAATTGTGGAAAAAATGCAGGGCAAGATACATTGCTTGCAAATCACCCAGGAAACCTATGGTACATGTAAGAATTGAGTCCATCACTGCCAAATATCCTTCTGTAAGCATATAATGGTTTTAAGCAGCGTTTTAAGTTTTAAGCAGACAGTAATTTTACAATCAGACCTAAAAGCTGCAAGAGATCACTTGAAGGGATCCAGTGGCTGGCCCATGACCTCTGCTGACAAACTATGTAGGAGGCACAAGGAGAGTATATATGTACATATATTTGTACATATGTTTCCTTAGCCAGTTGTGTGCATCTGAAATGGAGCTACTGCTTATGCAAGGAGTGCCTTTCAAGTACATGTGTCAGAATAGTATCAGCAATGCAGTTTGTCAGTGAGGAAAACCTGGGTAATTGAAGTAGAAGACTACAAGAGAGAGAAAAAGCCCACTTCTCATGATGCCTTAGTAGACATAGAGGGGAGATTTCAGTATCAAATGTCTTAAGCACAATCTCTAGACACTTCAGAATATTGAAGGAACTGCATTCCCTGCTTGAGAGGCTTGTTGGATGAAAATGGAAATCTGCTACTGCATTTTAGAAGGTAATTATTGAAGTGAAAAACTTCATCAGATTATATTGTGAGCACTTGGCCACTCCACGTGAATCCATAATTTGTTGTTCTAAAAGGTCGCAGATCACCATGACATCAACAGGTCCCAGAAGACTTAGCTTGGTTGACAAAACTGGGAACAATATGAAATGACCAAAATAAAAGAAACACCATGTGGAGAACAGGGAAAAGAAACAAAACCTGAGATGTTTCCTGTAGTCATACAGTGTATAACAAATACTGCATGTACTCAAACCAAAATAGACTGTTTGGTGAAGACAGAAAGAGACCCATATGAAGCAGCTAGAATAGGATGAGGTTTGAGCTAAATAAACAGATATTAAATATTTTTCACTTCCATTCAGTGTTAGAAATATCAAAACACAAAATTTACAATATATGCTAAGTTTGTGAATTAAAAAAAAAGAAAATATAAAAAAAATTCTACTTTTTTCATCTGGTGGAGCTTTCAGCTATGTTGAGGGCATATCTCCCTAAATTATAATAGAAATGTTTTATTATTCATTGTCTAACTTGTAAAATATTTTATTTGGAAATAAATGAGATAAACTCCACATAGGAAGGTTTCTTTTTAAGAAATCTGTCTGATCACTACATTTTCATTATGACGTTGATTTATTAGAAAGTGTCCTCCATTTTTTAGCGTTATTTATCTAAGGAAATTAACATAAAGAATAAAATTTCAAAAAATCTTTACCTGAAGGAAAGAAATTGCTAGAATTAATTAAGGCTACAGGAAAGAGATTATTTGCTAAAATACTTAGCAGTTTTTTAAACACTAATGCATTACAACATTTCCATAGACAGGTTAGATAAATCTTTGGCAAAATACATTTGAGTTTGTTCTACAGGCCCTGCTCTTGAGAGTTGCCAGGCACAGATAGCTGTGGAAACTGAAGTCATGTATTTGCTCACTGTTCAAGGATAGGGTTCCTGAAGCAGATCTGACCTGGACCAAAGCATGAGTCTATTTATATCTTTATGCCTACTGGGTTCCCAGTTGAGCATTCCTGCCTTGCTGCCAATCCATGGGTTACATTTTCCAGCCAGTCCCTTCAGTGACTGAGACCTTCCCTACTGCCCTGTCAGTTATGGTGGGGATCAGATTACGCAAACATGGCAGAAAGATGGAGTGCAGCAGAGAGGAAGGTGGAAACATTGGCTGTGGAAAGAACACCATCTGTCCAGCTGGAGGAACTCAGGTTTTGCTAGAGGAGCTCCGGCTTTTTTTTTTTTGGTTGGATTTTTTTGTTTTGTTTTGTTTTGTTTTGTTTTGTTTTTTGGCTGGTTGATATGGCAGACAAGGTATGTGAAGAACAATAAAACTAATTTTTATAGTTAGAGCACAGTGCCGTCACTCTTCTGGCCCAGTGGAAAAACAACCCCCTTAATGAGCCTACTTGCAACTTTTCACTCCACAGAGGCATGCCCATCCACTACTCCTTGCCACCAAAGGCTTCTTTTGGATAAAGTCTACACTGGTGTTTAATCAAGGTAAACAGAAAGGAGATTCATCAGATTCAGAAGTCCCACTCATAGTTGTATCTGAGCAGAAACCCTGAACCAACAGCCAAACATAGAAAAGAAAAAAAAGTTATTTTATTGCACATTGGAATATTTTTAAGCTACTCTTACCTATGTTGAAGGAGAGAGAATGTGATAGAATAGAAGAAAAATACCTGTAATTTAGTGAGCATGAGAGGGCCCAGTCTGTAGGCACCTGCCTCCTGAAAGAAGATGGAAGCAGGGGATTTGGTGCCTCACCTTCCTGTGCAGTGTGTGCAGGGGCTTGGAAGCCTTGCCATGAAAACTTTCATTGCAACTGAGGGACACCTTGGGCTATGCAGCAGAGAAGCACCAAGCTGACAAATGAACCTGAAGAGACACTGATTCTCACACAGGCAGAGAAGCAAGGAGTGCTTTGTCTCCTTGACACCCAGGGCCTGTAGCCTTCCTTCCCTGAGAGAAAGCTGAGACTTATTGTCCAGTGAAGGGAGTGCAGTCTGCTCTGAGTAGGGGAGCTGCTTTGCTGTGCAATAACTCTGTACATTAAGTAAGAAAGGAATATCTGAGAGAAACAGAAAAATGAAAGGAAGAAGGAAAATAGAGAAGTGAATTGGCTTGGCCAGCTGAGCAGGGAGCACGAACCATGCCAGGACATCCTCTCAGGGCCTCTGGGATGTTTGAGGAGAAGAAAGCATTTCTCTCTCATGTTTTCATGTCCTAACTACATTAAACAGTGGAGGGAGCATGAGATTGCACTCGTGGGTTTTCTGACTCTGTCCCAAGGGGCTAAAAGTTGGGTACTCATGCACATCCAAAGCCAAGAGAATTTCTCAGAATTAAATTTTCATTTAAAAGTTTGACTTTCAGGACATTCTCTCAGGAATTTCTCAGGAATGAGAAATTTGTATTGCATCTTCTTTGATTCAAAATCATATTTCCTCTCTCAAAGGTAAGTTTCCTGAACACTGAGGTGTGAATGGGAAGAGACATCTTTCACATCCTTAGCTGAAACATTCAGGTGAGTGAAAATAAATAAAAGTTTACTGCGGGGAATAAAGGAGACAAAGAGGTAGAGCCCAATTTGAACCTGGGGATTCAGGGTCCTTAGGAGATGTCCTGAGCCACACTATTCTGTGTCAAAGAGCAGTTGCTGTGTTTTATACTAAAGAAAAACTGTCCCAGAAACACAGACACCAAAACGCTAAGTTTTTTCATCCTAAGCTGATATCTTAACATTGGACTAGAATATTTCTTTGTCCTATTGTCTTCTCTTCTTTTGATTCAGCAATCCGCTTTAGAGAGTGACACAGCTTGGATGGAGAGAAAGAGGAGAGAGGATGTGGAGAGAAGGGTCAGTGTCAAAGACTATAACTTGCCCTTTGCACCAGGGTGTGCTCCCATAGTTGGAACATTATTCTCAGATCCATCTTTCCTGGATCTGAAGACTGAATTGAACTACAGCCTCTTCTGCGTCCTGAGCAAGAAAGAGTGGTTCCTACTTCTTCTTGGAAGGAATTGTTTCCTGTTTTAGAAACACTCCAGCCAAGCCTCCCAAAATAGACCTCACATTAAACAGTGAATATTAAGTAGAAGAAGAATGCTAGGTAGAGGAAGGCCCAGTTTCTGACTTTAAGCAGGTCTTAGGCACGAGTGGCAGAGACCTGGCCTAAAGCCTGGTGATGGTTTAGTCCCATACAAATTTTAATCTCTTCCCCCTTGGCTTCTCAAAGTAGAATATACCCAGTAGCATCTTTTAACTTCTTAAACATTTCCAAAAGCCTGGATTCTTTGCTCTGTTTTCATGTTCAGATATCTTGTATTGAACTTTTGGACTCACTTCTGCCTCTAGTTTGTTCTTTTTCCCTAGCATACAGCTGAGACTCAATTTCCTGACTGCCTCCTCAGAACAAAGGTGAGTCTTGGACTTTGGCTGCCCTTAACATCACCTTGACCTGATTTTTCCCAAAAGAGCCAGGGTTAGGCCATAGGTAAGTAGGGATTGCTGGAATTGCAATTGTGGGTGCAAGTGCCTAAATCCTTCTTAAAGCCCCTACTCAGCACTGTAAGGCTGAAAGCAATAAACTAAAGCCAGGAGGTTCTGAGGCAGATACGAAAAGTTTGAGGTAAGGAGTTTAAATAAGTGCCTACTGGTGGTTCCTTTTCATGGTGAGATAGTAATTCATTCATGCTGGAAGCCTTTGTACAGGGACTGTATGAAGTCTTTAATTAAAGTTGATTAAAATGGTAATTTTGAGCCTTGATAGTTTAGAATAATAATTTTTTCTCTCCTTGCTCCACATCTGAAAACCTTTAAACTACTTCAGTGAACTGCAACCTAAGTAATCCTGCTCCTATTTTTAGGGACATAAGCCCTGGCTTCAGCAGGGCCATGGCAGTTGGAATAAGAAGATTTTCCAAGTGTGGAGGATTAGCTTTTGCAGCAGTTGTATGACAAAGCAATATAGTTGCCAGTGATAACAAGGAGGAGGAGAGAATTTATCATTTATTACATATTCATATTTGCCTTTTTTTAACACAGCAATCTGTGAAAATGTATCCAAAATTATTCCATGTTTTTTGTTTGTTTTGTTTCTGTTTGTGTGTTTTTTAATTACTCAGAGCTTTCAGTTCCCCAAATGTCTCACCTCACTGCAGAGCAGACTAGATGAATACTGACTGCCAGTTCTGTCCTGGAATTGAGAACACTAAGCATCACAGTTTGGGTCCTGTCTAATCCTCTGGCATGGAGTTAACCTGCTGAGACCTAAAAGGTCCTCTCTTCCTGGTACTGATCTTTGTAATCATGAGGAAAGAAGCTAATTAAATACACAGATGAAGGGACATTTTATTATTCAGCTTTTAGATATCTATACTAGCTTTACTCTTCCTGTAAAATCTGTGCTCCAGCTGAGCAAGTGAACTGGTGCCCTTAAATTTTATGACATCAATCCTGCACTGGTGAATGTGCAAGATGACAAGGGAGATAAATTACTGAAAGTAATAGTGCAGAAGGCTAAGAGGTAAATTGTCATTAAAGCAAAAAACTCACAACTTTCTCCCTTACTGCACTCAAACAGAACACCCAAAACTCAAAGCTATGTTATAGTCCAGCTAGTGAAACACACAGAGTTTCAGAACTGGAATGGATAACACCAGGTAAGAAATGTGGAGCTCTGTATTTTCACTGACTTGGGATAGATCTCAATTTTCAGTTGCAGAAATTTTCAATGCAAAAAGATGACAAAGAGACATTACATATTCTTGGTTACCGTAATTTAAATGTTCATCTGGTCCTGCATACATTGCCTTGAAGTTTGCACTCTGTAGACTTTTCAGAGATCTCCCTTTAATGACACAAACATCCAGAAACAGATCTCTTTAGACTCATATATAAGTGTTTACATCTCCTAGGGAATGCATCTCTCTTTCTGCCACCTTATGGCATGAAGAAGCTATCAGCTCCTGAGAGAATACCCCATGGTGCACATACTGCCAGCTGCTGGAATAATTTTGTGCTATTTGCCCTTCTTGTGGTGCCTTAGGTCTCACAGCAAGATGTTGAGCTCGGGGGGAAAATAGGAGAGTCTTAAACCCCTGAAGGCTTCTTTAAATTATGATAATTGCTGGTGGGCAGGTGGAACAGCCGATCAGAAACTTCTGCAAAGGAAGTCCCAGGCATCCTTGCTTTTCCACACCAGTGCTTTCTTCAGGGTGGTGTAAAAGCACAGCCAAAAGACAATGTTCCAGAAGCTGTGTTTATTTATATGGAGAGTCTCATGCATTTTTCTGGACAAAAAGACGCTTTGTGTTTTCAACCAAATAAAAGCAGTTAACGTGTGTGTCTTCTTTAGTGAGTTTAACTGGGACTTACTACGAACAATTCTGATTTTTAATCTATCAAGGTCTGGACATCAGCAAAGTTTTTGTCCTCTAATGCAGACCCATGTTCAAAGTTACAATGGCATCTTTGGTGCTGATAGATGGTGGACCTAGTGGGATTTGCAAAGCACCTAAATGTTGCAGACACCAAATTTTTATTGGTGTCTTCTGCTTGGGCAGAATCCTAAAAGAGACATATCCACTAGATGGCAAATTATCTAACAATCAATTGTGATATCTCCTAAGTTTCAGGTGTCAGACCTATCATTCCCATAAAAGAGTCCTAAATTTCAGTTGAGGATTCTGAGGTTTCTACAGACTTCATGGGAGACTCCAGCCCTTCTCTTTGCTTTGCAACATGCAACTTGTCAATGCCTAGAGTTAGTCAACTCTAGTTGACTAACAAAATTTTAAGAGAAATATCTGAAATACTGTTAATTCTTGTGACCTCAGATTCAGGCCTTCAGGATGTTTTGATCAGTTCTCCAGCTACAGATAAGGTAGATTTATTTTTTTCTTTTTGCTAGGGTCTTTTTGGTTTTTTCTTTTCCCCTGAGATTAGAGAAGTCTTTGGCTTCAGCTTCCTTTTCCCCAGACATTACCTTGAGCATCAGCCTGCAAGGTGGTCAGGCAAGACCAGACTTTGAGCTACAGTAAACTCAGACAGTGGGTGTGAATAAATACCAGATACCATAAACCAGAGAGGAGTGTATAAGCAAATAGTTTTGGGTGCTAAAATTAGGTGTACAGCTTGAAAAGTAGATTTCTGGTCCCAGCTCTTGCTGTGAAAACTTCTTTAGAGTTTTTAATCCATTGGCTAGTAAGAGGGTGAGAAATTGAGGATTACTTCCTAAGATTATCAAAAACCCTAATAAATAAATTACCCCTAATACTCCTTGCTGCATGTTCTTTTCCCTTAATGATGCCACTCAAGTTTCTTGCAATGCAGTGCAGGAAAGGCAGCATGCTGTTCATGGCAGTTGTTCATCCTATCAGGCTCATTCATGCTATTCTCTTGGAATATGTGGGTTGGACTTCCCTCAAGTTAAGGATTCAGTAGTATTTAGTGCAATGTTTCCTACCTGTTCTGCCACAGAAAACATCTACTTCTGCTGCCTCAACTGTAAAGGAATGGTTCCCTTCCTTACTTTGCATGTGCATTGATACCTCTGCTGGAGTGGGGTCTTCAGCAGGTGAGGAGAGTGTGCTAGGCACCAGCCTACATACAATGGGCATATGCTGGTGACACAGGAGCCTGGAAGAACTCTTAATTGGGAGGCATCTAGCAAAGTTGATATGCCTTGAAATAAAATGAGAGAAGGAGATATGCCTTGAAATAAAGTGACAGAAGGATGCTGCCTCTGAATTTGATTGGAAATTTCAGTGCCTAGAGAGGCACTTATCTGATTCTTTGAACAATTAATTACAAGTTTAACTTTGGAGTTCTTCTGCCCTCTGAACCCTAAGTAGATAAATAAAAGCTTTTTCTTTACTTCTGCCTTTACTAAGAGCACTCTGATGGTTCAGTTTGTCCTCTATGGAGCCTCAAGGCTTCACTTGTGTTGTGGCAGACTGGTTTGACATGTTTGTCAACTTAAGCATCAGCATGACACTGCAGCAGAACGCTGGTGATTTAGGTGTAAAATACAATTAAGATAAAAATAGTACAGGGAAATTTCACATAATGTGAGAGACCCTATTCTGGCATAATTCCATGCCCTCCAGAATATCCTTCCATTAAACCGATTGCAAAGCTTATATACACTAGAAATTGAAAGGCAATGTGGGTTTATCACTTAATCTTCAATATTAGTTTGTCCTTTTTTATTATTATGTGGGACACTTTAGTGGAGTCTCTTCAGAGATGATATAATTTCATTCTTGGTTTTCCATTTTAGAGTTGTCAGTGGAACAAGTATTCTTCATAGATCATTTTGACCTGAGGTCTCCTCACCAAAAATGAGGACCATACTCTGAAATATGTTCAGCTTTCTTTTGAATGTGTCAGGAATTTGCTAATCTTCAGGTCACCCTCTATGCCACTCGGATAAATTATAAGCCTAGAGATCCTGCAAATGCTGAGCAGCATCTCTCTTTCTCTCTTTTTTTTAGTACTTTTTCCTTGCAGTAGAAATTTTTTTCCTGCACAATCACTTTAATTTATCAGGATATGTGTTAGGCATTTTGAATAAGATCAACACTGAACTGAACTTTCACCCAGGAAACTAAATTAATCTTGATATTAGGGGAACAGTCTTTAGAAATACTAAATCTCCATTTAGCAGAAATGTAGCAATTTCACAAGAAAATGAGAGTGAGATATTTACAAAATCATTTATTGACACACTTGGATGATCTTTGGATTAGAACAAGCTTTTATTTTTTTCAAATTTCCTCATCACTGATTATATTGGTTCAGGCTCTTAATGTGCAGAACAACAAATTCCTGCAAATCTGGTTCATTGAGATTTTTGCACTGTAGTTCATTATGTTTCTACCTCTTAGCTAGATCCTGTTCTGGTGAGGAAAATCCCATGGGAGCTGCACTTAGATCAAACTGTGCATACACAATATGCAGCTGACATTGTTTATGAAGTGCTAACGGAAGTGGCTGATTTTGCTTCTAGTGAAGTTGGTAAATGCAGAATAAATCCTGAATTGAGTATGTATACATGAGCATTATTTGTTGTGCACATGTATCTTTATGTGGCAGATATGCCAGGGACAGGTGACACTGCTAAGAGCTATGAATGGGAAGACAGAACAAACTTAGCAAGACTAACAGTCCTTGAACTGAAGAAGTAATGGTTCCAGCTTCCCAGGTTACTTATGCTGCAACAAAACTGGAATGCTCTGATTAACAGTATATGTGTTTGCTCCTAATGATATCTTCCTGTTGGAAAATATGATTTTAATGAAATCAAAACTGGTTGGATGAATTTGCTTATTTCACTGAAGCTTCAGAAAAGCTATTTCAGAACTTTAAAATGTTCTCTTTCCAGGCCTGTAATATTTTGTTTTTTTTCAATTTTT